CGCGCTGGAACCCTACATGGCCCACTTCCGTTCAAGTTCCAGACCTGACGACTTGAAAATCATGTCAGCACGTGTGTGTTTGTGTGTGTGTGTGTGTGTTTGTGTGTGTGTGTGTGGGTGTGGGTGTGTGTGTGTCTGCGTGCCCAAAATCCCAGGAGAACAGAGAAGACGGGATTGTGGTATGGCCATCCCCCCTGGGGATGATTTCTTACTTTTCCCCTCACTGCCTGGCTCTCTTTCTCTCCAGCCAGTGCTCTTGCCCTATGGCAAAAACCGAAAGAAAGAAAGAAAGAAAGAAAGAAAGAAAGAAAGAAAGAAAGAAAGAAAGAAAGAAAGAAAGAAAGAAAGAAAGAAAGAAAGAAAGAAAAAAAAAGGGAGGGAGGAAGGAAGGAAGGAAGGAAGGAAGGAAGGAAGGAAGGAAGGAAGAAAGAAAGAAAGAAAGAAAGAAAGAAAGAAAGAAAGAAAGAAAACAAATAAAAAGTTCCAGACATAATATACCTTCAGGAGCTATAGGTGTCAATTTGTTGTTGTTGTTGTTGTTGTTGTTAAAAGAACCCTTTTCTTTTTAAAATAATTATTTAATTTTTATTATCATTATTATTTTAATTTGCTATAGGGCACATGTGCTCATCAGAAAGAGACAGAGACAGAAAGAGAGGACAATTGAGAAAGCAAATTGCCAGGTCTGGAGCTCAAACTGGGGTTGACCATGTGGGAGTCCAATGCCTTAACCACCACACATACCTACTTAGTAGGGAATATGTTGATATTGAAAGTTAAGATCCACAGGGAATCAGAAATTTCCAAGGGGGCGCCTTACAAACAACCTTGCAAGAATATAGTCATGATTAATAAATACAGAATTTTATGCATAGCAATGTTTTCAACCTCCTCCTTTATCTAATGAGTTCCTTCCAAAAGGCTTGATAATCTTTAGAATTTCATCTTCTTGAGTCTGTATCGACAAACCCCCAAACTATTAAAAGAGCTCCTAGCTTTAAGTCTGCAGAATTCCAGTTGCTAAAACAATCATCAATGCAGATTCTGAAGGAATTCAAGGCTTAATAAATAAATACAGTAAATAATAGACTTTTTTAAAAAGGAGTATAAGTACAATCTACTTTCACAGTTCTTAAAATTACATTATAAGATAAATACAGTAGATCAGAGCTGACACATGCAAAGTCACCTAAGAGAGGAACTTGTTCTCAGGGCTAACCTAACCTTATTGAAAATTAACCTGGTAGGCTAATTTAAACCTTATTTAGTATTAACCTGCAGCAAGTTTGTGTCCACCTAACGGGGTAGCAGGTCAACTAATGAAGCTTGGAAGATGAATGTAAACACTGGCAAGAGGGTATTTATCACTGAGGACTTGACCCAGGAAGGATGTCCAGAAAGATCTCTGTGGTGAAGATGGGTGCACCTTAGTGGAAATCAAAGTTTAGCAAATTGAATCATTTAGGTCAAGTAGCTAATAGCCTTCCTCTGGTCACAAGCCTTTAGCTTTCTGTGTCTTCTAGGGGAAAAGACAAGTATCCATAATCATAACTTACTAATCCTTAATAGTTACATTTCTCATTTTAATTAGAAATCCTCATTATTATATATGATGTACATTAAAGTTTTATTTGCCTGTGTAGGTCATCAAAAAACAAACCACCCCACATTGTTCCCATAAAGTTGTGTTGCTAAGGTGGATGGGGTCATCAGGGAAAGCCTTTCTAAGGAAGTGACATTCAGGCCAAAAGTCTAAAGAACAGGTAAAGGTGAACAAGTGGAGGAAGGTGGAGTGTGAACGAGAGCAGTATCCTTTTGTTTTGTTTTGTTTTGTTTTTTGGAGAAGTTTTTCCTATAGGGCACTTGCACTCACCAGAAAGACAGACAGAAAGAAAGCAAGAAATCACCCCTGAGGGGGGATGGCCATACTGCAGACCATTCTCCTCCCAGGATCTCAGGCATGCATGCACATGCACCTGAATTGAGTTTAAGCAACCAGGACTGGGACTTGAACTGTGGTCAACTACATAGGAGTCCAGTGAAATAACCATTACAACGTCTGCTGATCCCAGGGGGAGTATTCTTTTTTTTTTTTTTTTTTTTTGAGAGGTTTTTGCTATAGAGTACGTGCGCTTGCCAGACAGACAGACAGAGACAAAGAGACAGAAAGTGAGAAATCAGCCCCCAGGGGGGATGGCCACGCCACAATCCCTTCTTCTCCACTCTCCTCTCAGAATCTTGGGCATGAACGCACACGCGCCCGGCGTGAGTTTTAAGTCACCGGGTCCAGGACTCGAACCACGGTCGAATACGTGGGAGCCCAGCGACATAGCCATTATGCTAACTGCTGCACCCCCAGGGGCAGTATTCTTAGTGGAGGGAATCTCATGGATCAAAACAGGAAGGAGACTAGTGCTTTTGAGGAGTTAGAGAAGACTGGTATGGCTGAAATGAAGTGAGTAAAAGGAAATTGGAGTGGGTTCAGGAAACCAACTGGGAGGCCATTGCTCTAGTTCTGTAGAGAAGTGGTGGTGGTTTGGACTCTGACAGTCAAGGGGGTGTGAAAAGATGCTCCTGGATGTCAGAGACTATCAGAAGTCTCTGGATTGATGGATTTATGTAGGCATGAGGAGTAGGTGATGTCAAAGATGACTTTCCAGTTCCTCACTTGGGCAACAAAGCAGATCAGATGATATATTAAAAAGCCATTTCTTCTCTTATGCTCTTCCTGACTAGTCCTATTCTTCTCATGTTTCAATCTAGAACAATCTAGAGCATATGTTCAACTGCCTACAGGGACAGTTCAAAGGTGCCTTCTAAAACTCAACACATGCAGGAGAAAATTCATCATCACTTGTCTGCTCTCCCTCCCACATTGTGTACTGGAGACAGGTAGTACACTCTATCCAACCAGATAAGCCAGAAAGAGTGCTGTTCTTGGACTCACTCTGTCATCTCTAGGGAGTCAAATTCTGAGGACTCTCCCTCTTTGATAGCCCCCACTCATTCACAAATTCCCAAATATTTATTGAGTGACTATCATAGAATATTAACAGAAACTATAGTTGTCATAGTCTCTGCCCTCACAAGAACTTTATGAAGTGAACTGACAAATTAATGAGTAAATATAATAGTGTAGCAAGAAAGATGAGTAAGAGATAGTCAGACAACAAGAAGGGAAGAATATTCCAGTGATATCTTCCTTCTAAGAAAAAGAAGATAAGAAGATATCATTTAAAAACACCCAGTGAAGGGAACCAGCAGTTAGCGTAATGGCTATGTCGCTGGACTCCCACGTAGTCGACCGCGGTTCACATCCTGGACCCGGTGGCTTAAAACTCACGCCGGGCGCATGTGTGTGCGTGCCCAAGATCCTGAGAGGAGAATGGAGGAGAAGGGATTGCGGCATGACCATCCCCCCTGGGGGGTGATTTCTCGCTTTCTGTCTCTCTGTCTCTCTCTGTCTGTCTGGCGAGCACACGCACACTATAGCGAAAACCTCTCCAAAAAAAAAAAAAAAAAAAAAAAAACACCCAGTGAAAAGCCAGAATCCATGTGCATCCAGGGTGGGCTTTCTCTGCCCCATTAACCAGAAAAAGCCTCTGCCCCAAACCCCTTCTTCTGGCCCAACACCCAACGAAAAGCCAG